TCACATCTTTATATCACCAGAGAGCAGATATTGAGTGCTTACCATCTGTCCCTGTTCATGTTCTCATGTCCTCCAGGTCTCTTCTTGCTGTCTTTATTATGGTTTGTATGAATTAAAATCCCAAATCTTTTTTCCTAACAGAAATGCTTTCTTCCCAAGCCCTTTGCTAGCAAGGATAGTTAATTAGCTCCAACACATTAAGGGTAGAGTCATACAGGGAATTGTGGCAACATCTGCTTTGTTTGTTCCAAGGAATCTGTGCAAATAAACAGGAGGGATTACTGTTACTGAGCATGTATAACATAATTAAATTTGTCCAAAGTATTTTATTTTTTAAAAATATATATATTTAAAGATTTTATTTATTTATTTGACAGAGAGAGACACAGCGAGAGAAGGAACACAAGCAGGGGGAGTGGGAGAGGGAGAAGCAGGCTTCCCGCCAAGCAGGGAGCCCGATGAGGGGATCATGACCTGAGTGGAAGGCAGACGCTTAACGACTGAGCCACCCTGGCACCCCTGTCCAAAGTATTTTAAACTATTTTCTTGTTATTTATTCTTCCTGGCAAGACCAAGTCAAAGAGAATGTAAAAGGTAAGCAGGTCCTGGGTCCTCTGCCAATGAATGGCCTCCTTCTGCACATCACATCATGAGGGAAACGTTGCAAGGATGACTTGGAGGGGTGGGAGTAAACAAGATTAGAAATGTTGGGGTTTTTATTTAAAGCTCTAAAATAGTACAGTTTGAAATCATCTTTAACAAGAACAATATATAGGGATGCCTGCGTGGCTCAGTCAGTTGAGCATCTATCTGCCTTTGGCTCTGGTTATATACCCAGGGTCCTGGGATCAAGCCCCATGTTGCCTTGGGCTCCTGCTCAGTGGGGAGTCTGCTTCTCTGCCCCTCCCCCCATTTGTTCTCTCTCTGTCAAATAAATAAAATATTTTTTAAAAAGGTATTTATTTATTTATTTGAGAGAGAGAGAAAGCACCACCAGGGGGGAGGGTTAGAGAGAGAAGGGGAAGCAGACTCCCCACTGAGCAGAGAGCCTGATGTGGGGCTCCATTCCAGGACCCCGAGATCATGACCTGAGCTGAAGGCAGACGTTTAACTGACTGAGCCACCCAGGTGCCCCAATAAATAAAATCTTAAAGAAAAAAATTTCCTGCACACCAGAAGCCTCCTTGTGTTCTCCTCCCAGCTAGTAACAAGTTAGTAGAGTTAGTAATGTCTACTTTGACTTTTTTTTTTAAACTTTATTTATTTACTTGACAGAGAGAGAGAGCATAAGCAGGGATAGTGGCAGGTAAAGGGAGAGGGAGAAGCAGGCTCTCCGCAGAGCAGGGGAGCCTGATGTGGAGCTCAATCCCAGGACCCTGGGATCATGGCCTGAGCCGAAGGCAGACACCTAACCGACTGAGCCACCCAGGCACCCCTACTCTGACTTCTATGACTATGATATTGGGATAAAAGATACATTATTTGGTCTTTGTTCTGGTTCCTGGCATAAGAGTTCCTAAAACTCTTGTAATTTCCTAAGTAATAATGGTGAAAAGCACATTTTTTGTTATTTATAAGTCTTCAACCAAACCTGAGTTTATGTTAATGGGTGACTCAAGATGGTTCCTTAGATAGCTTCAGGATGGGGGCTGGTTGCCAAAGGAACCAACCATGTGATTCTAGGTTTGAATCCTGCTTGGCGGGAAGCCTGCTTCTCCCTCTCCCACTCCCCCTGCTTGTGTTCCCTCTCTCATGCTGTCTCTCTCTGTCAAATAAATAAAATCATTAAAAAAATAATAATAAAATAAAAGCAACTGTGGGGGGCACCTGGGTGACTCAGTTGAGTGTCCGACTCTTGACTTCAGCTCAGGTCTTAAGGTCTTTCAGACTTAACCCCCCAGCCTCTGGGAAGGGAAAAAGGAATGGGGATTTAATTAATTACCAAAGGTTAGTGATTTAATGAATCATGCCTTCATAAAGGAACCTCCATATAAACCCTAAACTATGGGGTTTGGAGAGCTTCTAAATTCGTGAATATATCTACATGCCATGAGGGTAGTCCCCCCCAAACTCCACAGGGACAGAAGATCCTGTGTTCAGGACCTTTTCAGACCTCACTCAATATACCTCTTCATCTGGTTGTTCATTTGTATCTTCTATAATATCCTTTATAATAAACTGGTAATAGTATTTATTTTCCCAAGTTCTGTGAGCCATTATAACAAATTATCAAACCTAATTAGGTCATCATGGGAACCCTCAATTTATATTGATTGACATTTGAATTATTTCCCATCTACGGCTGTTATGAATAAAACTATGAATATTATTTTGCCTTTTAGTGGACATAAACGCTCATTTCTGTAGTTTATTTTTTTATTTTTTTAAAGATTTATTTATCTATTTATTTATTTTTTTAAAGATTTTATTTACTTGAGAGAGAGAATGAGAGAGAGCATGAGAGGGAAGAGGGTCAGAGGGAGAAGCAGACTCCCCGCTGAGCAGGGAGCCCGATGCGGGACTCGATTCAGGGACTCCAGGATCATGACTTGAGCTGAAGGCAGTCGCTTAACCAACTGAGCCACCCAGGCGCCCAAGATTTTATTTATTTATTTGACAGAGAGAGACACAGTGAGAGAGGGAACACAAGCAGGGGGAGTGTGAGAGGGAGAAGCAGGCTTCCTGCCAAGCAGGAGCCCGATGCGGGGCTTGATCCCAGGACCCTGGGATCATGACCTGAGCCGAAGGCAGACGCTTAACGACTGAGCCACCCAGGCACCCCTCATTTCTGTAGTTTAACCAGAAGTAGAAGTTCTGGATCTATAGGGTACACATACTCAGCTATAGTAAGTACTGCCATAGATTTTTCCAAATTGTACCAATTTACATGCCCACTAGCAACATATGAGAGTTCCAGTCATTCTACCTCTTTACCAATCTTTGGTATCATCAACAGGTTTTTTGTTTTTTGGGTTTTTTTTTTTTTTTGTATCATCAGTCTTTTTGTTTTGTTTTTAAGATTTGTTTATTTATTTGAGAGTAAAAGGGAGCGAGAGAGAGAGAGAGAGGGAGAAAGAGCATGAGTGGGAGGGACAGAGGGAGAGAGAATCCCAAGCAGACTCCACACTGAGCGAGGAGCCTGACATGGGGCCAATCTCACAACCCTGAGATCATGACCTGAGCTGAAGTCAAGAGTTGGACACTCAACCGAGTCACCCAGGTGCCCCCCACAGTTGCTTTTATTTTATTATTATTTTTTTAATGATTTTATTTATTTATTTGACAGAGAGAGAGCACGAGAGAGGGAACACAAGCAGGGGGAGTGGGAGAGGGAGAAGCAGGCTTCCCGCCAAGCAGGAGCCCGATGTGGGACTCGATCCCAGGACCCTGGGATCATGACCTGAGCCGAAGGCAGACGCTTAATGACTGAGCCACCCAAGCGCTCCCACAATTGCTTTTAAAATACTCATGATATCATGGTACCTGGGTGGCACAGTTGGTTAAGCATCTGACTCTTGGTTTTGGTTCAGGTTGTGATCTCAGGGTGTTGAGATCCAGCCCCACGTTGGATTCTGCGCTCAGGAGGGAGTCTGTTTGAGATTCTCTCTCTGCCCCTCCGTACCTGTGTGCGTGCTCTCTCTCAAATAAATAAATAAATCTTACACAAAAAAAATAAAGGCAATCGTGGACTTTTAAACTTCCAGGTGAATCTTCATTCCACAGAAATTGTGAGCTCTGCTGAGAGGTACATTTGGGGCTAATTCCTGGGATGCCAAGATGAAGTACAATAACCTTGAGGATGAGCCTGCAGCCTCTGACATGGGCAGATACCAGGATCCAAGTGCAGCTCAGCATGAGCCTAGAGATTCTCAAAGGAATTCCAGACTCTTGCCCAGTGGGCCCCTGGATCATCAAGGGCATTGTGAGGCAAGAAAGACCTGGAACAATAGGCTCAAAAAGGAAGGTGAACCACTTCTGAGCCATTCACTCTGTGCATGTCTCTGAAGGGATAGGGCCGACCAAGTAAGATGGGGCTGCCTTTCCCAAGGTGGCATTAGAAATTAGTGGCAGTGCCCACTGGGGATGGCAGAGGACCCTGTCTCAATCTGGTCTTTGTCTCGACTTGGAAAACAAATCCAAATCTTGTAGGCGGAACTTCAGATGGGTCAACAGAACTCCCTGGAGGTATGAGGCCTGAAGCAACCAGCAGGTAACTGGGCACTACAGCCCGAGGCCAGTCAACCCTAAGCAAGAGCATCCTGCTTCCTTAAAGGGTTTCTTCGCCTGAGGAAAGTGGAAGCCAGCACTCAAATTCCTACCAGATCTTCTGAAAATGGAGGCAAGGGTGATACTGAAGAAGCCCCCTTATCTAACTGACTGACAAGCAACGTCCACTCCCTGTGGTTCAGAATTTTACCCAATCTGCCCTCATGGGGATGCAACCAGGGTCCCCAGTGAGAGGCAGGCAGTGGCAGTCCCCTGTTCCTGTCCTCAATTTAGGACCGCATGGGAGACGTAAGAAACAGATAAATTTTTTAAGGCGTGAGGTCTATTTCATAAAGCACAAAAGACAGTGTGGCCGGCAGGTCATGAGAATCTAAAGGGAGAGGAGGTCGTAAATGAGGGAAAGATGACGAGGGCTGTTGTGGTTACGGCAGGAGAGAGGATTAGGCGGGGCATGTGGGCAGCAGGGAGGCAGGAGACTGAGTGGAGAATGGAGCCTGAAGGCTCTCAAGGGGTGGGAAGAGGCCAGAGGCCCGGGCAGCAGTCCGGGCTGGTAATGCCAGGCAGGGCAGGTGCTCTGCAGAGGGAAAGTCTGGCCACGCGGGCGTGGATTCCGAGCCGCACTCCACCTTGCGAGGGTGGAGGAAGAAGGTCCTGCCTCCTGGCACAGAGTCCAGCCCTTGGTGTCAGGGCTCCGTTTGTGATAGGTTCGGGGAAAGTGCTGCGCTCAGTAAGAGATAACCAGTGGCAGCTGCCGGGTAAAGGCGTGTGCTGGGAGGTACTCCTTCCCGGAGCGAGGATAGTCGTCCTCACTTCCGGGTGCTTGCGGATGGGCAGGCGGGGGGCCGAGGTCGACCGCCAGAACGCAGATTCCTCTGACCCCAGGTCTTCCACCTCCAGCGGCCATCTGGCGACCGTTGGAAAGGAGCGGGCGGCCTCAAAACAACTGCCGCGTACTCTCCACTTGCAGGCCGTAAACCCCACCCCTGAAGGCCCGGCAGCGTCTCCGCGGCGAGGAGCCGCGAAGTGCGGCTGCGCAAGGGTGACGGAGCGCGGGCGACGGGGAGGGGGTGTTTTGGTTCTAGCCGCTCGCCGTCCTTTCAGACTCGTTCGTCTGAAAGCTTCTCGTTCCTTCCTCCCCTGTCCCTTCCCTTTCCCTTTCCCGGCCCCAGTCCTCCCTCCCTCCTTTCCCTTTGCCTGCCTTCCCGGGTCCGGGCCATTTTCCGGGCCAGGCGCACAAAAGTGCGCGGCCCCGGGGCCCAGTATATGACCCGCTCTCTTGCTAACCCTCGCTACCCCCGCCCCATGTGGCTGCGGGGCCGCTGCGGCGCTGCCCACTATGGCCCGGAAAGCAGTTAGCAGGAAGCGGAAAGCGCCCGCCTCGCCAGGAGCTGGGAGCGACGCTCAGTGCCCGCAGGTGAGGGCTGAGAGGCCTGGACCCGTGTTACATCGCCGAGGCACCCAGAGGGGGATAAGGTTCTAAGGTCAGGGAACCGGAACCGGGGACCAAGGTCTGTAGTCAGAGGTGAGGCAAGAGCGGAGCCCCAGCCTTTTGGGACAGGGCCGGGCCCTCAGGAGTTCATAGATCTGAAAGGCCAGAGGAATGAGAAGCTAAAGGGAAACTTGGAAACGGGGCATATTCCGCGGAAGGCCTGCAGCCGGTCGTGGGGCTTGAGGGGAAACTATAATCTTGGCTTTGGAGGGAGGAAAACCGACATCGAGGGGAATCAGGAACAAAACCTCCCAGAATATACTGGGAGGGAGAGTGAATTCCCCCTTCCAGGGCTTTGGGAAGCGGAGATGATTGCGTCCTTTATAAGGGAAGGAGTTTCCGTCTGGATACCTCAAGCCCTGAGGTGGGCTTTTTGGCTCTTGGACCGGTATAAAAAACAGCAGTTCTTGTTGAACGCGTATTCGGACTCTGATTTCCCGTGCTTCCTACTCCGTTAGTATTTGATTTTTCGAATTCTTCAACCGCCGGGAGCGTGGGCCTGGTGACGGGGGGTCGCCCTGATAGCGCATCCCTGGAAGGCCTGGGACTCCAGGCTGGCCCCAGCTGCACTCTCCATGCTCCACGGGGAGTACAGACTGAGAGGAAGAAGGGTCCTGGGTAGAGATGCAGCCAGTCGGTGTAGTAATTATTTGGTCCCTCATTCCCTTTCCTATCAAGGATAACTTTAGGCGCCCTGAAGCCTGCACCCCTAACAGGGCTAGTAAATCTTTTGACCTCTTTTCTGCTTCCTTTTCCTTGTCTTTCAGCCCTTGTTTCTCATAGGTAGCTTTGACTATGAGCAGTATCTTCTCAGTGTTGGAAGAGTTAAACTGGACTTTCTATATTGAGATTTCTGTTCTGTTGTATTTCTGTTGTATGTAAATCCTGCAGGATGAGTTCTTGGTGATTTCTCTGATACAGGAGGATCCCTTGTTCTGAAGGAAGGTAGCCAGAGCCCTAATTTCTAATGTTGCTTTTCACAGTTTGGCTGGGATCACTCACTTCACAAAAGGAAAAGACTCCCCCCAGTGAAGAGATCCTTAGTGTACTACCTGAAGAATCGAGAAGTCAGGCTTCAGAATGAAACCAGCTATACTCGAGTGTTGCATGGCTATGCAGCACAGCAACTTCCCAGTCTCCTGAAGGAGAGAGAGTTTCACCTTGGGACCCTTAATAAAGTGTTTGCATCTCAGTGGCTGAATCATAGGCAAGTGGTGTGTGGCACAAAATGCAATACGGTAAGCATCTGGGGGGCGGTAAGTGAACCTTATCCTAGGGCCTGAATACATTTTGGCTCCACATGCTCTAGAACCTCTCTCTCACTGCTCATTTTCCCCATCAGTTTCTTTCGGGAGGAGATTGCCTTACTCTGCTTTCCATTCCCTCCTATCTGTTGATAACTTCTTTCTCTCTGTCCTTTTTCCCAGTTCCTTATCTTCTTGATAAATCTTCAGAGGAGTCTGTTTCTTTAGGCCTCTTGCCGTATAGCTGTTCCACTGCTTTTAGAGTTCTTTGGCCTCATGTTTTTATGTTGCTTTTTAAGTCAGAGACTTTAGAGGAAAGACTTAGGAAAGAATGATGCTCAGGGCATCATTCAGGATACATAAAAGTGGAAACCTAGGTCTTACCTGCTAAGCTAAGGGCACATGTAAGAATATTTTAAGTAGCACTTGGAGGGCGCCTTGGTGGCACAGTTGGTTCAGCGTCCGACTCTTGATTTTGACTCAGGTCATGATCTCAGGGTCATGAGATTGAGCCCTGTCTTGGGCTCCGTGATCAGCGTGGAGTCTGCTTGAGATTCTCTCTCTTTCCCTTGGCCCCTCCCAATCGTGTGTGTGCTCTCGCTCTAAAATAAATAAATGTTAAAAAAATAATAATAAAGTAGTACTTGGTTCAGAATAGGAATAAAGCAAACCTTTTTTCCCCCCAAACATTCTTTTTTAGGGAGTAGAATCCAAAGTAGAATTAAAGATTTCCTTTTTTTTTTTTTAAGATTTTATTTATTTATTTGACAGAGAGAGGGAACACAAGCAGGGGGAGTGGGAGAGGGAGAAGCAGGCTTCCCGCTGAGCAGGAGCCTGATGCAGGGCTTGATCCCAGGACCGTGGGATCATGACCTGAGCTGAAGGCAGGCGCTTACAACTGAGCCACCCAGGCGCCCTTAAAGATTTAATTTAAGAAAGGGTAGAGAATGTGTGTTTGGTGGCATATTTCAGGATGTAAAGTTCTTTGCAAAGTAGCCTCCTGAAAAGGATTCAAAAGAGAGAAAAATTATTACATGAGGAGGAGAGTGTTTTTACATGGAATGAGTTAGAAAATAGCTATACATGAATGAAGGGAAAAATTTATCAGCTATATAATAAGCACAATTATAGTCATAGATAAAATATGTCAATCCAGGATTGGATATTGCAGATATGTTTGGAACGGAGGGATACAAATAATGTCAGAGGAATGGCAAGAGGCAGGGCCTGGAGGTAGGAAATGATTCTAGATGAAGCATGAGAAAAGATGGGATATAGGCCCAACTGCTCTGTTTTCACCTTACACAGAAACACATCTTGGATTAATTGAAAGAGATCAAGAGTGTCTTAAGTACTAGAAGTGTTTGTTTATAAAGGACATAGGCAAAGATTTAAACATGAGTTTGAAGGAAGGAAATATTAATCTTGGCGGTTGGGGCCCAGCTGGCATTTCCTCTTCTGTTGAAGGTTGCTGCTTGTCATACAGAAGCCTTTCAAAACTGAGTAGTGGTGGCAAGCCTCTACAAAACTTCATTTTCCTGGTCTCGCAGGCCACCACTCATGGTTTAAGAGAACTGTCATTATTGTCACTTGGAATAGAAAGAGTCTCCCATTTGGAGGAATTCATTCTACTCCACATATACGATTAGTGTTTTGCCCAGGAAATGCTGTTGAATTATAAACTACATGAATCATAGTCTCCTTCTTGAATTTATTGACCCTATTTTGAAGGTTTGCATAATGTTAAGTAATAATTTAATGTACTCTTAATACCTACCTCTTTCTTCCTGTTTCCTCATAACCTAACATGTTTAAATGAGGGCCTGTTTTCTTTATAATTTGTGTTGTTGTTTGCTTAGCTTCCAGAACCAAAGCAGGGAACCAGGAATGCTGCTCTTTGAACTTTCTGACATTGGACAAATGAGTCCCTTATCTGTGCCTTTGGTTTCCCATCTGTAACATGGGAGTGATAATATCCAGAGCTGAGAAGGTGGCTGTGCACCTCTTGGGAAATACTTGAAGTTAGCAATATCTTTCTTATGCAAAAATAGTGGTGATAATGAATGCAAAGCTTTTTCCAGTGCTCTTCGCATTCCCTGGGACGTCCCTCAGTTTGAAAGAGGAAAATTAAACAATTACAATTATCTTTGGATAATATGTCAAGATTTTGGGGGGGGGGAGAATTTGTGTTGGAGTCTCAATAATAAATGAAGTTCTGATGTATTGAAATTTTGCTATCAATGAAGCAATTTTAATGTATTAGGTAGGAAAAGTATACAACTACTTATATCCTAAAATAGCCTGTACCTTCAGGTTAGAAGCTGTTTTGTCTTGGGTGCTGTTAGTATTCATCGGCATTTAACTGAATGTACACAAATGCTAAAAAAGTAAGGTTATGGGGCACCTGGGTGGCTCAGTTGGGCGTCTGCCTTAGGCTCAGGTCATGATCTCAGGGTCCTAGGATCTTTAGGCTCTCTGCTCAGCACGGACTCTGCTTCTCCTTCTCCCTCTGTGTTCTCTTGCTCTCTCTCAAGCAAATAAATAAAATCTTTAAAAAAAAAAAAAAAAAGCCAAGTTATTTCCCAGTTAACTAGCTTGGGGCAAGAGTTTTGAAACCTCTGCTGAGGCATTAGATCATCCTTTTCGAAAAGAAGTAGGTATGTTTTGTAAATCTTTGTAGCTTGATATCTGAGGTGAGAATTGCCCTGTGCTGTGTTGCCACACTCAAACTAGGAGCAGTCATTCAACCCCCTGAATTTTCTGGGCCCAGTAAGCACAAGAAGGACCATAAAAATGGCCAACGTATGTTTTATTTTTTTTTTAAGATTTTATTTATTTATTTGACAGAGACACAGCGAGAGAGGGAACACAAGCAGGGGGAGTGGGAGAGGGAGAAGCAGGCTTCCCGCCGAGCAGGGAGCCCGATTCGGGGCTCGATCCCGGGGTCCCGATCCAGGATCCCGAAGGCAGACGCTTAACGACTGAGCCACCCAGGCCCCCTGTTTTAATCATTAATAACATTTGTATGGTTATATTTTTACTAAATTACCAAAAGAGAAAGGCGTAGGGGCGCTTGGGTGGCTCAGTCGTTAAGCGTCTGCCTTCGGCTCGGGTCATGATCCTGGGGACCTGGGATCGAGCCCCACATCAGGCTCCCTGCTCTGCGGGGAGCCTGCTTCTCTCTCTCCCACTCCCCCTGCTTGTGTTCCTTTTCTCACTGTGTCTCTCTGTCAAATAAATAAAATCTTTAAAAAACCAAATAAAATAAGAGAGAAAGGCGTAGTATAACCTTAATTGGAACATGGACCTGGAAACCAGGATGGGTAGGTATATTTTTCTGGTATAGGGTTACAAAGTCAGATTGTCTATAGAGCGAGACAGAAAAGCTAATAAGAGAAGCTTGCCAGGCGCAAGACAGTAAGTTGTGGGGACTGCAAAGAGCCAGAGAAGGTATTCTTGGCTCCAAGCAGTTGTTGCCATGCAAGAATCTGAGCCTATTGTTAATTTTCTTTCTTTCTTTTTTTTTAAGAGAAACTGGAAATCTGGATTTTTATGGGGAAAAGTATCAACCACTTACGAGGGTTATTGAGAATCTGGTGTGACAAGAGCTTTATGTATCTGGAAGAGAATTGTGAGATTAAGGTTGGAAAGGTTCATTAGGATCAAATTATGGAAGCCATTGAGTGTCCAGCTAAGATCTTATTTGGTGGGGAATGGAGAGACAAGACCCAAGGATTTTAAGCTGGGAGAGGAGTACTGCTTTAGGGAAAGCAGTTACAGGATGCTAGTGCTATAGTATAAATGAACTAATGAGGACCAAAAGCAGGATAGTGGCAGGGAGAGAGTGAGGAGAAGACAGATACATTTTAATAGAGGCACCTGGCTGGTTCATTCAATGGAGCATGAAACCCTTGATCTTGGGATCATGAGTTTGAGCCCCATGTTGGGCATAGAGCCTACTTCAAAAAAAAAATTTTTTTTTAAATACGTTTTAAGAGGTAAAATCTGTAGGGACGTCTGAGTGGCTCAGTCGGTTTAGGGTCTGCCTTAGGCTCAGGTCATGATTCCAGGGTCCTGGGATCAAGTCCCACATGGGGCTCCCTGCTCAGCGGGAAGCCTGCTTCTCCCCCTGCCTGCCTCTCCCCCTGTTTGTGCTCTCTCTGTCTCTGACAAATAAATAAATAAAATCTTTAAAAAAAAAAAAAAAAGGTACAATCTGTAGATGGTGACATGCTCAGATATAATCCAGAGGATTAAGTTAAAATTGATACTGATGTCTTGAAAACCTGGGTAACTGGAAGGATGGCAGGAGAGGAAGGAGTATTAAACAGATTTGAAAAGAAAATGAGTTTAGTGGGCACCTGAGTGGCTCAGTCGGTTAAGCGTCTGCCTTCAGCTCAGGTCATGATCCCAGGGTCGTGGGATCGAGTCCCACATCAGGCTCCCTGCACAGCGGGAAGCCTGCTTCTCTCTCTCCCACTCCCCCTGCTTGTGTTCCCTCTCTCACTGTGTCTCTCTCTGTCAAAAAAAATAAAATCTTTAAAAAAAAAAAGAAAATGAGTTTAGTTTTGTGCTTTCACTTAGTTGAAATTTAAGAGGTGTAAAAATTGAAGTCAGTGATTTGGGAATGGTCGTCTATGTATAAGGGATTATTGAAATTAGTGCACTACCATTTGAGAGACTGTAGAGAAGACATTCTTAAGTTACATAAACCTTCCCTAAAATTGAAAAATTTCATTATATGTGTATTTTCTGGGCACAATGAGTTCGGGGGGTGGTATGTGGAGCAGTCCGTAGTTTTCATTATAGTTTCAAAAGGAGTACTGTGAGCCAAAAATGGGTAAGAACCATTGATATTGAAAGGGTAGCTATAAAGATAGAATCTTGGAGCAGGAAGGTCAGAGGAGAACTAGGAGGGGCTATTTTGGGGCGCCTGGCTGGCTTCGAAGAGCTTGCGACTCTTGATCTCAGGGTTGTGAGTTGGAGCCCCACAT